GGTTAAAAATATTTTAAAATCATCGTTTTACCTGTATAAGAATGTTTATTGTAGGCCAGATCTGTCAAAGAAATGGTTATTCCTTGTGACTCACTTTTTCACTTTTCAATGGTGAAATTGTTTTCTTTTTAATGCATCTCCTCTTAAGGTCAAATTAAAAGGTTGCCGGAAAACGGATTCAAATGCAATGGGAGACCTGAGCGCGCCAAGAAATGGTCTCGTCCACACTGTTATGAAAACGATTATAATAAGTAAGTCAATGTTAATGGGTTTCTGAGATACCATATTTTAACCTATTTTGACGATTTTGGACCAAACTGACTGCTAATAGCGAAATATTATAAATGTTTGAAACAAAAACAAAAACATATTTCATATAATTTTTTTTATCGAATTCGTAGCTAATGTCCCTTTAAATCTAAATGATTTTAGTAAACATCCCACTGTTTTAAAAAATGTAAAATGCAGTCAATAAAAAAGAGGCGAAAGATACCAAATTGATAAACAAACGCATAAGTCGATACCAAATTGATAAACAAACTCATAAGTCGATACCAAACTGACAATGTCATGGCAAAAACGACAGTTACACCACACAAAACACAACATAGAAAATAAAAGACTGAGCAACTCAAACCACACCAAAATATAGGGGCGATCTTATGTGCTCCGGAAGGGTAAGCAGATCCTGCTCCACATGTGGCAACCGTCTTGTTGCTCATGTAAGTACAAACCCTGTGATAAGTTTGATTTGGTAGGTCATATTCGAGGAAAAGAGGACGGGATTGTCATTGGAACATATCCGTTGTCATCTGTGAAAAAGATATTCCATAATGGTCAACAAACTCGTTATGGCATCCGTAAATTTTTTCGAAGGGATGATTTCAACTTCACCACTTTGAACTCTTGGTTTAATAGCTTCTCAGTAAGCAACAACCCTCTATCAAGGAAATTATGATAGGATATGCAAACTCTGGAATATCGTATCATTTGGGAAATGTATATATACAGGATAAGGCTTGCTTCTTTTCATTCGTCCGAAGAAGCTCCTGAATGAAATCTGCCTCAAATAAATAAAGGAACAAGTCGACAAGAAGAGGAATGTTGGTTCACATAGGAATGCCGATTGTTTGTTAAAAAACACGTCTTCCGTGCTAACGGAACAAATATAGTTGTAAATAAAAAATCAAGCATCTTCATAATGTCAGTTTTAATTCAGAGAATTTTTTATTTGAATCTGAGTGTGTTTTTATTTACAAAGTACGATTAATCTATCCGTTAGACAAGATACTTGTATCTACGTTGGCCTTTTTTTATGAAACAATTTGAAAGCATTCAGGACCAATTCTTTCAATTTGTCTTTTAGTTTAGACCGTGACACTGTGCAATGGAGAATACTGTTGTAAAGGGTAGGAAAGTCGAACGTTTTAATACTATTGAAAGAGGAAAGAGACTTGGATTGTATCAGTGCTCTAATCAGATTAATATTAATCAGATCTTGTGATTTTTTCAGAATCAACATCTGATTCACACCGCCCCTTGATTAGGTAGTTTCACAATAACTTTGAGCCCGGTTTTGACAACAGATTACTGATAAAGATGCACAGGCACTTGTCTCAGAAAAAGTTTTCCTATATACCTCAATTTAAGGTATATAGGAAATATTTTTCTGAGACAAGTGCATGTGTAAAGATGTTAATAATTGAGAAAGAGGTTTCGTGGAGCACTTGGACGATCCAGCAATATAACAATGTTTGTAAGGACACTAATGTAATTTAGATATCACAATGAATATGCATTAAAGAATAAAATATTTATTACAGCAACCTCGTAAACAATACACAATATCACGTGGTTATACGGCAATATGCGCGTACAGGGGCTGTCTCAAGAGGCAAATCATTACCGTTAAATCCAGTCTGTGAAATTTTCGACGCTACCCGAGAATCGTGATCCGAGGGAATCATGACCATGATAATAGCATGAAATCACCAATATATGTCATATATAAAAAATAATTGGTGTCAAAAAATGAGGGGAAACGGTAATGGTGTCGTGAAATAGAAGTCTAATATTAGTTCCAAACGGAAGAAAATGTTCTGGAATATTATTTCCACTGGAAGAAATATTACAGTATTTGTTCCTGTCGGAATAATTGGCATATAATATTTTTTCCAACAGGAACAGGTTTTATATTATTGTTTATAACAAAGTTTCCAGATGACTTCTGTTAGGAGGAACAAATGAACGTTGACAATGAAACCTGATGACAAAACTATTCAGACAAAACTTTTAGGTATAGATATAAGAAGATGTTATATGAGTGCCAATGAGACAACTCTCCATCCAAGTCAAAATTTATAAAAGTAATCCATTATAGGTCAAAGTACGGTCTTCAAAACGGAGCTTTGGCTCACACCGAACAGCAAGCTATAAAGGGCCCCAAAAATTACTAGTGTAAAACCATTCAAACGGGAAAACCACCGGTCTAATCTATATAAAAAACGAGAAACGAGAAACACTTATGAACCACATCAACAAACGACAACTACTGAACATCAGATTCCTGACTTAGGACAGGTGCAAACAATTGCAGCGGGTTTAAACGTTTTAATGGTACCAAACCAAGGGGCGTAGCTAGGTATCCAATAAACTGTAGGCACAATTTGCGGCAGGGGGTCTCGGGGCCGCTCAAGGCCCCCAGCAGGTCCAGGGGGGGGGGGGGGGGGGTTGAAGCCCCCGACGGAAAACGGTTTTCAGCATTTTTAGTTGCAAAGTTTTGTGTACAAAAGACATAAAATGTACTGGTCATTTTATCATAATAATATACATGAAGAAAAATTCGAAGAATTATACATAATTTTACAATAACATCTGACTAATGAATTAACACAGGTGAAAATCGGAAATCCTAAAAAAAATTACAATATGCATTGCCCAGCGAAGATCAGTGTAGCCTATTTAATTAAGCAGTACATCCTGTTTAGTATTTTCATATTTAGTCCTTTCTGATTGAGGATAATGATGTATACGTCAATTGGTAGTACATGTTGACGATCCTCCATCAAAAAAAGAGGCACGTAAACACTGAGACTAACATAATAATACTGTATTCTATGGGCTAGGCATCGATCATTCATCTTTTGATTCTTAAACCGTCATGCTCCCCGGCAACACAAACACATACACACACACACAGGCAATGCCTAATGCAGAAGTTCTATTCTGTTCATACTATCTAACAAAATTCAAGAAATTCAAATTTTCTAATATCCTGTACTGTAATATCCCTAGGAATTTGAATAATTTTTGTCATTACACGTAGATCTGATAGTACTCGAAGTTACTGGAAGCTAGTTGATTGATTGGTTGATTGCTAAATGTCCAGTGGCAAATAGGTGCTGCATGTTCAGGACAAAACAAATTTACAATAAATACAACAGGTAGGTCCTGTCATAGGGGTCGTCCAGGATGAAGGTCTGTAAGTTTAGAAATGCAATTGCAAGGGTTTATTGGATAGGGACATAAATTTTGCCTTTCAGCAGACCACCTACGGACCCCTCAAAGAGTTGTTGTAAATGTTCTTTACGTGCAGAGAGCATGGTATTCTCTCTACATTAGGCATCGGATTTAACGCCCACATTCTGACCAGAGGTGACTGCGTATCTATACATCCCGCACAGCCAAAACGGACGTCCTAATTCGGCAAGGGTTTCCTTATAGGTCGGATGAAGACCAAGCTAGTGGAAAGCTAGTTGAAAGCCAACACGACTAATACAAATAAATCATGTATATAAGAATAGAATGTCAGGGTTTTGAGCATGTTGAGGTTCATTCAAGTATTTTTATTAAGTGAAATGATCTGAACCAAAGTTCTAGTTTTTAGTTTCTATATAAGGTGGAATATAATGTGCACACGATTGTATCCAATACTCGTAGTCTCCATTCACTAAGGATGATAGACTAGTGTACAAATGACATTTGACGACTTCGTGTGCATCTACAGATAACGTTGTCTGGCCATAATTTTTTTGATAAAAAAAATTATTTGTGAAAAAATTATCGGAAGGCACGTGCCTAAAGTGCCTAACGGCAGCTACGCCCTTGAAACCTTCACCCTTTTTCTGAAACAATGGTGTAACATCACAACATAGAAAGACACACTATAAAATATCAACTGAAATGGCTTAACTCATTCAAAGGAAATATTAACACCAGTGAACATACACTGAACAAATAAATTTGACCTATGATACAATGTAAATACAAAATAAATAAAATAAGGGAATACAAACATATTCTTCATACAAACATATTCTTGAATAGTAATAAAGATGAAAAACATCAATAAAACGCTGCTCCTTTGCTTTTTGTGTGTTTTTTTTTATGTGCATGTGCTGATTCTGTGTCATGGATGGATACCCCATATCCTTTGTTTTTTCTATTAAGTGTAGTATAAGAAATATTTCCCTGAAAGCCTAGTGTTCCCAGCAGAAAGTATAACCAGAAAATCTTATATCGTAAGGACAAAAAATGAATAAAAATAATGAGTTAATAGCTCTTCATGTGTGCAATGAATAGCAGCTGTTTGATTAGTTTAAGAATATATTTAGATGGATTTTTTAGTAAAATAAAACCAAGGGGTAAATTCTAATAGAGAGAGTGGACTAGAAATCCACCTGCACTGAATATTGAACCTCAAATGATACCATTCTTATATCCTACTTTGCTTTATAACTTCCTAATAAATAGACTATTCAAGCGTAGTAGAAATCTACCTGCAATAACAGGTGTTATATAACGTCCGTTGCTGCTTTAGTTGTATCTTATTTATTTTGGAACTTTTGTTGAATTGTACTGTGAATAAGTTCTGGAAAATATTTTAATGCTATTTAAGTATACAGAGCACGGTTTTACAATATTTTGCTACTCAGTAGTGGTATAAAATTAAAAAAAAATAATCTTTTAGAAAACTCTCGTATTTCTAAAATTCTTCCCGTGAAATTACGTGACGTCATCATGGTTCCCATTTGCCAAGAATGTAACCTTGGATTTTCCTAAATTAATCTTTTACATACGCTAATTTACATGCCAGAAGAATTGACAGTAAATCCTTCTCTATCTCTACCTTTATCAGGATATCTTTTCTTTAAGATAAAAGCTTTATTTCCGAAATGTCGAGGCATGAGGGTGAGTTCATAAATTTGTCGACAAAATGGCCACCAATAATATTCAGCGTAATATAAAAAAAACTATCATCTCTCTGATAAGACATAGTATTATTAAGAGTAATATTTATACTTTTGCACTTCATGATTCAGTGTATGATTTGTATGTTGGCTTCTGATATATAGCAGTTTTCGTTGTCAGCACGAGACAGTTTCCAGGAAGTTGTTTTCACTTCACTTCCAAGGCATTGGTCATTGCATAAGATGAGCGATTTGGGGGCTACAAATGAGAGAGACAATCTCGCCATCACAATTGGTAATATGTGGTAGAAATGTAAACTTGAAAATTGCCATAAAATCAAATGAGTCTTAATCCTAACCAAGGCTTCTATATCAACCCTTCGCCTTCGGTCCAATTTAGATATGATGGTGTATCTTTAGAATTATCCATCCAAGAAACAAAGTGGAAGGAATATTATTCAATCATATCTTAATCACGTTCACAAATATCTCATGTATGATGATGGTCAATTATTACGTTCTTTTAAGAGTCCATCATTTTTATATTGAAAATTGAATGCATCATTCAAAAGAAATTCCTGCAGCTCAGAAGTCAAAAGGACTGTTTATTTGCACTAATATTGTGAAATTAATTGTGAATTTTTGGATCTCGTTCCATATAATTGTATGAATTTAAAGTTAATGTGTACATCACTTTTTGTGGCGTTGATCCATTCATGTGACGTGCAGTTTGTGGTGTCCTGTGCTGTCATTAATGGGAGATGTCCGTTGTTATTCGCGGTTTACATGTTGTAATGTACTATTATATTATTTATTTATGCATTTCTCTGTGCTGAGTGTTCTTGCGTTTGTTTGTACTGTATTCCTGTCACATAGTGTTGTCATTTTAGCGATATTTTTAACATTGTAATTTAAGCGGGAGGTTTGGCTAGCCATAAAACCCACCATTTTTTCTTAAAATGTCCTGTACCAAGTCAGGAATATGGCAGTTGTTATCAAATGGTCCGTTTCTATGTATGTTGGCTGTTTTTGTTGCAGTTCAGTGTTTCTGTAGTTCCGTTGTTTTCCTCTTATAGTTGATCCCTCGGTTTTAGTTTGTAACCCAGATTTGTTTTCTCTCAATCGATTTATGACTTTTGAACAGCGGTATACTACTGTTGCCTTTATTTATACACCAAAATGGGTATCAATTTTCAGTGATAAAATATAAACCTTGGATTTAAAGATATTTTCTGTCATGGCGCAAACATTCGGGTATAGGACAACATTTTGTCTTAAGACATCATGACTGAAATATCATCAGGATAAAGGTAAACAGCCTTCAAAAGTAGCATTTTTGGAGGCCATTATCTTTGTATTAAGTTCTCATTTGTACTATGGTTTTAAAGGGGAAAATGTTGCCATTTGTATGAAAATTTGCGCCATGACAGCTATTATGATGAAATACAAAAATTGATTTTTTTGTCACTGTAAATTGATACCCATAAATGGGAATATAGTACCCATTTATGAGGATTCTCCCCAACCGGTAGAAGTCTTGGTAGTAAATTTAAAAATAACTTTTGAAAGTGCAAAATAAGAATTATGAATTTGTATGTGGCAACAACATTTGCTATAAGACAAGCCTAGAGACTTCAAAATACAAATGTACTTTATACAAATGAAATTGCATTACCTTTGAGATATATTAATCCGAATAATTGGGTAAAAAGTAAGAAAATACTGGTAGCATATTTCTACCAGGTGAGTGAAACAGACTCTGAGAGGCCTCAAGTTTAGGACTTGCTGGGGCTGTTGGACATTAGATTGCAGCTCATACATTTGAACATATACAAAACATATAAATCACCAACCAAACCTTGTGATGGCATATTTCTTTCTTGATATTGTCATAGATTCATTTTCAAGTGAATAAATCATACATTCCAACCCATATCTGTTTTTTTGTTATGTCCCTTCTATTTGAACAAGTTGTCAAGTCATGCAAGCTTGAAGTGTTATTTCATTCCAGTGCATTAAATTTTGATGTTAATTTATGCATACATGTATGATACCAGTGATCCACATTAATTAACAAGGTATACCTCTTCATTAAATCTGTCATATCCAAACAAATATTACATAGCGCACATATGTCATCCTTTCTGCATAAAATAGCTCTCATGATTACAAGCTCTGTGAGAAAATATAATTAGATCTGAATATTGTGTTCAAACTCATAGTATGTTGCTGAAAATGGAAGGTTTATAATGGAAATAAAGCTTTCGTACAAACCCTTCTAAAGTGAAAAAAAAATGTGTCAAACATCAGAACAATCTCAGACTGACATTACTGATGTATGATATTCATTCATCTATGCAACAACATTTAAGAGGGCTACTGACCTACTTATTAAGTGACAAACGTAGACAATAAGGGTGAAAATGGAAAATACATGTGTACTGAAATCTTTGTTAAGTGAGTGAATTATTTGGTGCAACTCTAAAATGTAATGTCGGTTGAAAGATATGTAAATCATGAATTAGATATATACACATGATATATGTTTCATTGAAATGTTTTAATAACCTTGAAAGTTCATAGCTACAGGTAGCTGTCATACCAAAAAAAATTCTGTTTTTAACTGTTTTTTGTCATTCACATGCCAAGAAAGAAACATTTCTTTTGGTAATATTATATAGATCCTGTAAATTATTAAGTAAGTTACAGTTCTGGGTTCTCACTAAGGCGAGTCAATGAGTCCTTGACTCATGAAAATATGTCTGGACTCATCAATTTTAAAACTGGCGAGTCCAAAGATGTATCAATATTGTAAAATAAAAAAAAAAAAGTACGGAATTGCTAGTAAAATGGCGTCTATATTTGGAAATAAAGAAGTTAATTGAACTCAAAGTTTACACAGAACACAACTGACAATAATTTATTGTTTGATTCGTTCCACTGTGCAAGAGTGCTAACACATGATGGCAGAATAATTTTAACAAACATTTAACAACAAAAACATTGTATTTTTATTCTATTTATTTTAATAGTTCACTTCCATATATACTTACTTTCACTTTCTCTTTCAATTGCTATTTCAAATGTTACTCACCATAGCAACATTGTGACGTTTTATTTTCTCAACTCGATTTTGTACATCAGCATGATTTTATGTATTGTTTTCTATCCTGATGACGGTGGCCTAGCCACCGAAATATGTCGATCTCAATAAATTACTGGAACATTCCTTAAAGTGTTGTTGTTATAGGACCTTCTACATACAATATTGTAAAATGAACACACATTTCATTATTTTCTAGCAAAAGTTTTAAAATAATCTAAATTTGATGTCTTTTGCTTGGTCTATTTTGTCATGGCGAGTGAAATAATAAATTATAGAGCAATAAAAAAAATCTCACTGTTGGAATCGCCATTGCCAAGAATGACGAGACCCTGGACTCACCTTGGAAAATCCTTAGTGAGAACCCTGGTTACTGTTATCATGGTAACAATAATATATTTTTACTTTCTATCATTTTCAGGTGTAAGCTGTGATTCCTGTTTGAAAGGGAACTTTAAAGGAAGAAGATATAAGTGTTTAATTTGTTACGATTATGACCTGTGTTCTACATGTTATGAATCTGGAGCCACAACATCCAGACACACTGCAGATCACCCAATGCAGTGTATCCTTACAAGAAATGATTTTGGTAAGAAATAGTTGTTTTTTATGTAGATAAAGAGAAATACAGGATAAATATCATTGAGACAGCAACTCAAATACATATTTAAACCAAAAAGACATCTAAAATGAGGAATTATTTGAATTCTGGAAAAATAATAAGAAATGTTTGACGAACTCTAACCCAACTTAAATGATTAAGCCATGCTTGCATGTCTGAGGTTCAAGTTACTTTCACTGATATTTCAGTATGAATTAACTAACCCCCTTAGCCATGCATGCATAGCTAACCCTTCTTAGTTGGGTTAGTTTTCATCATACATGTCATACATTTATCATTTTTCCAGAATTCAAAATTATTCCAAATTCAAATAATTCCTTGTTTTTAGATGTCCTCGTAACAATAGAGACTATCAAAGATCTTCCGTTAACACTAAATTCCAAAATGGACAAAAGATATTACAAAGCAACAAACATTGATCATTTCCTGACTAGAATTTGTTGATTGGAAAAGTTTTGAATACAATTATAAAAAAAAAAATTGGCAATTTGTAAACATGAAAATTTGTAATGGTTAAAGTCCAGCCATGCCAGCAGTCTCTATCAAGTAAATGTTGTTTTTCATATTGAACAAAGTTGTATATACATGTATATATGTTCCTAGTGATAAATTCAGAACTTTGATTATAACTGGTACAAGTAACAATCATTTAACTATAAAAGTTAGCTAGGAATGTTTTTTATGCCCCCGCCGTAGCGGAGGGGGCATTAAGTTTTACCCTTGTCCGTCTGTACGTACGTACGTACGTACGTACGTCCCGAAATTGGTTTCCGTTCTCTAACTTCAGTTTGCCTCAACCAAATGTTATGAAACTTATACACAATGCTTATTACCACAAAACACAGATCAAGTTTGAATTTTGGTGGCGTCACTTTAACCGATCTAGAGTTATGCCCCTTTATAAAAGGAAATATTGCAAAATTTTTAGTTTCCGTTCTCTAACTTAAGTTTGCCTCAACCAAATGTTATGAAACTTATACACAATGCTTATTACCACAAAACACAGATCAAGTTTGAATTTTGGTGGTGTCACTTTAACTGATCTAGAGTTATGCCCCTTTATAAAAGGAAAAATTGCAAAATTTTTATTTTCTTCTAAATATCAAGTTTATATAATATATTTTTTAAATTGGAGTTATCTTCCTTTGACCATGATTATAGTTGAATCAACTACAATCATTGCTTTATACAATGCAATGTTTAATTTTGACTTCCACTGATAAAACACAGATCAAGTTGAATTTGGGTAGTGTCACTTTAACCATTATTGAGTTATGCCCCTTTATAAATAGAAAGATTGCAACATTTTTTAGTTTCCATTCTGTAACTGAAGTTTTCCCCAGCCAAACATTATGAAACCTATACACAATATTCATTACCACAAAACTCAGTAAGGATCAAGTACAATTTTTTTGTTTCAGTTCTCTAACTTGAGTTTGCCTCAACCAAATGTTATGAAACTTATACACAATGCTCATTACTACATAATACAGATTAAGTACGAAATTAGGTGGCAACACTTTTACCATTCTAGAGTTATGTCCCTTTATAAACATAAAAATTGCTGAAATTTTTAGTTTGTCTCAACCAAATGTTGTAAAACTTATACACAACCGTTCTAGAGTTATGAGTGTTTACAAATAGAAAAATTGCTGAATTTTTAGTTTCTGTTCTCTACTTAAGTTAGCCTCAACCAAATATTATGAGACTTACACACAATGCTTATTACCACAAAACTCAGATCAAGTTCAAATTTGGGTAGCGTCACTTTTACCGTTCTTCAGTTATGTCCCTTTATAACTATATGATATGCAAGCGGGGGCATCATCTGTGTCCACATGTGGACACTATCCACATTTATTTTTTTATGAAATAATTTATTTATGTTATTGACTTTAACCATTGTAGAGCTAATTTCTGACTTGTACATGTAAATAATGAGTTTCATCGGGTGAATTTTTGAATTCATATTTAATTAACAGCTTTAGCATGTTTAGTGCTATTCCTTTTGAATTGTGATGCATTAATTTTTTGGGGGACTTTTAGAACAAACAAGATATAATGCTTATTATTCAACAAAAAACTTTTTAAGTTACTGATTCCAAAATCTTCTATGTTCACAGAACATTGACAAAAATTGCAATTTGTGTACATTAATATAATATACAGGAACTGGACTCGGTGAATACACAATTTTTTTCTGTAATGGAATAATATTTTTTTTAGATTTTCTTAAAAGTATATTAAAATTCTGTCTGTAGTAATGATCAGATTTTCTTAAAAGTATATTAAAATTCTGTCTGTAGTAATGATCAGATTTTCTTAAAAGTATATTAAAATTCTGTTCTACAGACCCAATGATTTTTATGCCCCCGCCGTAGCGGAGGGGGCATTAAGTTTTACCCTTGTCCATCCGTACGTTCGTACATACGTCCCAAAGTTGGTTTCCGTTTTCTAACTTTAGTTTGCTTCTACCAAATGTTATGAAACTTATACACAATGCTTATTAACACAAAACACAGATCAAGTATGAATTTTGGTGGCGTCACTTTAACCGTTGTAGAGTTATGCCCCTTTACAAATGGAAAAATTGCTGAATTTTTCGTTTCCGTTCTCTAACTTAGGTTTGCCTCAATCAAATGTTATGAAACTTATACACAATGCTGATTACCACAAAACACAGATCAAGTTTGAATTTTGGTGGCATCACTTAAACCGTTGTAGAGTTATGCCCCTTTACAAATGGAAAAATTGCTGAATTTTTTGTTTCCGTTCTCTAACTTTAGTTTGCCTCAACCAAATGTTATAAAACTTATACACAATGCTTATTACCACAAAATACAGATCAAATTTGATTTTTGGTGGTGTCACTTTTACTGTTCTAGAGTTATGCCCCTTTACAAAAGGAAAAATTGCTGAATTTTTTGTTTCCGTTCTCAAACTTAAGTTAGCCTCAACCAAATGTTATGAAACTTATACACAATACTTATTACTACAAAACTCAGATCAATAACAAATTTCGGTAGCGTCACTTTTACTGTTCTTCAGTTATGTCCCTTTATAACTTTATATGATATGCAAGCAGGGGCATCATCTGTGTCCCATGGACACATTCCCCATTTATTTTAAAATGAAACCCTAACCCTTACAAAATTTTTATGTCTCAAAAAATGATTTTTGTATTTAATTTCATTTTCTAATGTTTTCCACCTTTTAACATGTTTAAATATTCAAATTTTACAAATTGGGTAATAATTTACCAAAAATGAAGGACCACCAAATTTTTGGAAGGACCAGCAAAAGTTTGCTTTCTGTCAGTCTTTGGTCTGATAAAAAAAATCGAAGTTTCGCAATCTCTGTATATCTACTTCTTTCTTATTTAAAATTTTGTAAATTCACCCCACATACATGTATATAAAAATATTGAGATGTGGTAGGATTGCCAATGAGACAACTATTCACCAAAGTACAAATAACTTGGTTATGATATGAATCTTAAAAAAAAGGTTTCAGTATGCCAAATTAGGATTTTGATTGAGATTTTGTGATCCACTGAACATAGAAATGTGATAGTACGAGCTGGGCAAGGTGTCCTATGAACATATATTCTTGTTTATTTATAATCTTCCTACTTACACCTCAGATAATTATTTATTAAGTGCAACATGAAATAGAATTATTTTAAATCATTTACAATTGTCATAAATATATAGGTACAAACTCAAAGCTACTAAATAATAAAAGGTTTGCTAATATGTTGTATGTTATACTTCAGATTTATTTTATGGTGGTGAAGCCATGAGTTCAGATCAACCACAGGCCTTTACTTGTCCCTACTGTGGTAAAATGGGCTTTACAGATGCAACTTTACAAGAGCATGTTGCCTCAGATCATGTAGAAGCATCACAAGAAGTGGTAAGGTTTTCCACACAATATTGACTATTTATTTTAATTGATAGTGGAATGACAGAAGCCATGAAGCATGTACATTAACAAAGGTTTCTGAATATTCAAATCTCTTAAAAGTCTGAGAGAATACCTAAATACTGACTCTGAATAGAGATGATAGTTCTGACAGTAAATTAAGAGTGTTGAAATGAATAATTTGAGAACCCAATAAGTCTGTCATTTTCTAAGGCAAAGTCTAGATCTGTTCCAAAAATTCTAGTACAAAATAGTTACCTGTTGCCTGAACAGGTAAATTTCAGCTATGTCTATCAGACAACTATAAGTTGACCTTGGTTGTAATGAGGGAGTATAAAAGTAGGGCTTAATCTTAACGGTGAAATGATGATTTAAATTGCTAGAAAATATTGAAAATCGCTAGAATCTGTTATGTCTCTGACCGACTGACTTCATGCCGAGGTCATGTTGCCATCAAAATTCATATAAGGGAGACAACTTGTAATCTAAAAGGTGCACACACACACACACACACACACAAGTAACCAAAAATGCAACTGACAAGGAATATCAAGATTTTTGAAGTGGCCAATTGCAAGGACAAATACTGTCAATGATTAAATTGAATAAAAACAATGGCAAATGGATTTTACTTTAAAAGCCATTTAATCAGGAAACAGTGTTGATCGTTTGAGTTATAATTGTACAATGATTTGTGACAGGAGGATGTTTGTCAATCTCTCAGCTGATTTGTTTTATTTTCATTTATAACAAGCTGATTGGTTGGTTAAGAGGTGGGAATTAACCGTTCTGGTAATTATTCATCATGTACTTTTATGACCGGAAAAGTATGGCTGTGTAAGGCAAGAGGTCAGATCAAAAAGATCACAAAAATCCTCAAATGTTATTTCTGAGTTATGTTAACATGGCAAACCCATGTTTGAAATCCATTTCAGGCTCAGCACAACCAGTTGAGAATTTAATTTCCTGGACTTGTCTGAACAATATGACCATTTTGGAAGCCATGCATTGCTATTATATTCAAATTGATAATTTCATATTTTCATAGTAATTTTTTATATTTGACAGGTATGTCCAATATGTGCTTCTTTACCTGGTGGGGAACCTAACTATGTGACAGATGACTTTTCGGAACATTTAAGTCTACAACATAGGACACCCAGAGAATTTATATCCTTTATTGTTAAATAAAAAAGGACAGTATTACTAATGAAATAATTTCATAAATTTATAATGTCAACTGATGTTATTAAAAAATGAGACAACCATTTGGTTCAGAGAAAAGAAATGTAATGTGAATAATAATAACTAAGAGACAATAAAAATTGCTGTAAGCATTTAGCTAATTTGTGTACAGCAGTTAGACAGTGTTTTCTTAGATGCAGAGGATTTATAAATGTTAGGGTCCCATTCTTTAATTTAGGCCCTATCCTTTTAATTTAAAAGCGTTATGCTACATGTATATAAGCCCCACGAACCTTCTCAATTCATAACTACCATTCTTCAAAACAGTTCTATGGAAAACACTCACAAGTACTAAAAAAATCTATATATCTGGTGGTCAACTGAAAAAAAAAGCTACCACCAGAAAAATCAACGGCATCAAATTTGTGTTGTCAATTTCTATTGCGCCAAGTGTCATGTATCCCATCTTTTTAATAAAGGTTTCACTTCTTATTGTTAATCTTTGGTAAAGCCTTTCTAACTTTAATGGCAAGCAAGAAGGGTAATTGATGTTTGTTTACATTGAAACTGGAAGTGATACCTTTAAATTTTAATCTTAAACAGACTGCAAAATTGCTAATTTTGTTATGAAAAGTAATGAAACATCAGGAAGTTTTATTCTAATTGCTTTACCATTAGTTTTTGAAGATAAGTAGACATGTATAAAACTATTACTTCCTTGGTTATTTCAATTGTTCCTAGAGGGTCATAATGACAATTTACCTGATGATCAACAGGTGTATGTTTTGGTCAATCAGTTGATAGTTTGTTTACCCAATAATAAGAGTGTTCAGGTGAATATATTGACACTTGCTTGAAGACAACTTATTAATTACCAGAATTGGTCTCTTGTATCAATTGTATTGCTATTACAGTGAAGCATGAACATTTTTTAGCATGGGGAAAATAGCTGGGCCAGAAGATGTATTTTGTCACTAGATGAAATTTAAAAAAAATCATATTTTGCAACATTGTCAAAGCCTAAGGTGAGAACAACTTAGACTACAGTTCAAAATTTTGAGTTCTTCCTTATCCAAAAATCCTACAAGGGGACATAATGCCAGATGCAGAAATTGACAGAATCATTTATATTTAGAATTTTCTTTTTATGTGGAATATGTACAAACATGTTAAGTTCCTTAACTTTGACACGATGAACCAGCAGGAATTCGTCATGTAAGAAGAATACCACATCCAGGAAGGGGAACAGTTGGGGGTACTAGAACAAGGCGAACAACAAACATGCATTTTTCGGGGAACACAGCTTTGTCGGGGCTTTCACCAGGGGGTAGGGAAACGATGGATCCAATAGCAGAATTATTATCGCAGCTGTCAAGTGTGAGAAGCCGAGCAGCAGCAGCACAAAGTGTATCCTCACAACTACAACAGCTTGAAATGCAGCTGCAATCAACCAGGTTAGTTTCTAATGTCATTGTGTACATTGGAAGTCATCATTTTAGGGTTTTTATGCTAGCTATAGAGTGCAACATTTAGACAATATAACTGATTTATTGAAAGAACTTTGATATTTTTTATTTCTTTTTCAATAAGGAAAGATGGTTGATAGTATTTCAATGCTTTATATTTATGATTATTAATTAAAGGTATTTGCATTCTTGAGACATTATGAAAAATGAGGACATCAAGTATCTCACTATTTTCAAAAGGATTATGTAAAGGTTTGCATTAAAATGAATTTAAAAACACTCCAGATCCATTTTCAAAAGTCCACATTCAGTTGAAATATAGTAAATACTATAACACATTAACCAATGGGATTCAATTATTTAGAGTAGTGGTCTGTTTATAAGAGTATATATTTATAAAGTTATACATGACAGGTTCAATGTATCCACTGATAGACAATAAGAGGGGGTAGGTTGAGGTCTAAGAAATCTTAACCCCCTTCTCCCTTATGCTTCTTGGAACAGCTGTTAACCTGTAAGAAATAATTATAAATAACTGTAAAGTCCTCATGATCGAAATGAAGAGAACAATGCTATTGTCTTTTTCATAATCGTCATATATCATGTATATCATCATTTTGTGAAATGTTCATTGTTGTAATTCCCTCCATCCTTACTTATGTTGTAATACCACACAAACCTTTTGTTGGAGGATAATATAACAGTGTGTCTTTAATTATGTACTTTTAATAACCATTTCCCTGGTTCTGTAGGAATCCAAACCAAACATCGTGGAATGCAAATACAGTGCTCAATTTCAGGTAAGAATTACTCCTGATCACTTCCCATTCAAATATATATCCTCCAACAAAAAATATGTATATACCTCCTTTACAGTCAAAGACTCAGGAACAAAGATCAGATTCCTTTGCACAAAAGCCACATCCTTACAAAATACATGTGTACATCATTTTCGAACTACATGTTGTGTATCCTAATAAAACCGAATAAATTTCAACTTAAGTATCAACTCTTATTTTGAAAGGAAACAAGTTAAGAGAATTTTTAGAAAAATAATAAAAGCACATATTTTACCCCTTTGGTGTTGTAATGGTTTAATTTTGATAAGCACATTATGAAAAAAAGCTTATACTAGATGCTTCTCTCATGTAGATTACTCTCATTTTCATTGCACATGGATGGTGATCTTATATATCCTTATTCGTTATCATCATTGTGTTTCAGACAACAGTTAGAAAGATTACCAAATAGACGACAAGTAGAAACAAATAAAAATAATGCTGCTGGTAGTAGTAATAATGCCAGTGGTGAAAGTCAGAGTAATAGTAGCAGTGCTGCAAAGAGCAACTCTCCCTTTCTTCTAGCCAGGTTTGTATGTTGTAAAAAAAAAGTTACGTTCTATGAAAAAAACAACTACAGAGTGCCATTTAATGGTAATTTCTATGAACTTTTAGATGTTTTGTTTTTGTCGAGCCTGCGACTTTTGTTGCAGAAAGCTCGACATAGGGATAGTGATCCGGCGGCGGCGGCGTTAGCTAACTTCTTGAAAGCTTTATATTTTAAAAGCTAGAAGACCTGGATGCTTCATACTTTGTATATAGATGCCTTATGTTACGAAGTTTCCGACTGTCATATGTCCATTGTCCTTGACCTCATTTTCATGGTTCAGTGACTACTTGAAAAAAAGTCAACATTTTTTGTAATGTTAATTTCTTTCTTATAATGAGTAATAGGATAACTATATTTAGTATGTGCGTACCTTGCAAGGTCCTCATGCCCGTCAGACAATTTTCATGGATCAGTGAACAAGGTTAAGTTTTCGTGGTCAAGTCCTTATATCAGATACTATAAGCAGTAGGTCTACTATATTTGGTATATGGAATGATTGTAAGGTGTACATGTCCAGCTGGTAGGTGTCATCTGACCTTGACCTCATTTTCATGGTTCAGTGGTCAAAGTTAAGTTTTTAAGTTTTGATCTTTTTTTCTAATACTATATGCGATAGGTCAACTATATTTGGTGTATGGAAATATTTTATGATGTACATGTCAGTCTTGCAGGTTTTATTTGACCTTGACCTCATTTTCACAGTTCATTTCTCAGTGTTAAGTTTTTGTGTTTTGGTCTGTTTTTCTTCAACTATAAGCAATAGATCAACTATATTTGTTGTATGGAAGGATTGTAAGGTGTTTATGTCTGTCTGGCAAGTATCATCTGACCTTGACCTCATTTTCATGGTTTATTGGTCAATGTTAAGTTTGTTTCTTATATACTATAAGCAATAGGTCATGTATATTTAATTCATAAATTGATTGTAAGGTGTTCTTGTCTGTCTGGCATGGTTCATCTGACCTTGACCTCATTTTCATGGTTCATTGGACAATGTTAAGTTTTCTTGGTTAAGACTGTTTCTTAGAAACTATAAGCAATAGGTCAACCATGTTTGGTTTATTGAATGATTGTAAGGTGTACATGTATTTCTCGTTTGGTTTATCTGACCTTGACCTCATTTTCTTGGATCATGTTAAGTTTATGTGTTACTTGTAGTAAAGCTTTATATTTAGGACTTTCAACATAAAATCAATGGTTAGTAAAGAAGGCGAGACATTTCAGCGTGTGCACTCTTGTTGTTTAAAGTACTTTAAAAAGCAGACTTGATAAGCATTTAATTGGTTTTCTAATATTGATAATATAGTGGAGGGCCATTTGCTTTGAAGTGGGAATGGTGGAGGCTTGGAAGCTTTTGTCAATATTTTGTTTATTCTAATTTTGACATATCAATAAGGGCCGTTCCAAAATTTTGGCATGATTTCGTGGGTGGGAGGCACTCAAATTAATTAATTGTGGGTGGTTGAATTTTCTAGTATAAAGTAAAATAAAAAAAATTATAGTATGGGTGGATGGGGCCTAAAAACCTAGGTTAATTCTGGAACAGCCCCCAGGTGATCCCAGCATTTAAGGGGGAAAATGGTGTTCACACATGAATGCACTTGAAAAGCTGAATGTGAAAACAAAATTGTTCCTGAAAATAAACCTATTTGATCTGATTACAAAAAAACGAAAAATTTATAGCTTGAAGGTGTTTTTTTTGCCAGGTGATTGATTGAGGCTCCTAGGGGTCTCTAGTTTGTTTTTGTCTCAACCTTTGCAATGGCAAGACACATGTATCTTTAGACTTCAATAACTTTTTAAAACCTCCATGGCATTTTTTGACAAGCTTCTTGATGATCAAGAGAGAGCTCCTGGAGCAAAATTTTGGATATTTTTTTCAACTTTTTCCATCTTTTACTGATAGATTGACTTAATTTTTGGCAGTAGATAGTACACTTTTACACTGACAGCAGCAGTGGCAGAAGAGACGCACAGTTCAGTGTAACCATGTACAATTTTTATTATACCAAACACAGATCTAGCTTGAATTTGTGTGGTGTCACTTTAACCGTTCTTGAGTTATGTCCCTTTATTAATGGAAAAATTGCTCAATTTGTTGTCTCCACACTCTAACTTTTAGTTTGATCAACCAAATGTTATAAATCTTGTACACAATGCTTATTACCACCAAACACAGATCAAGATTGAATTTGGGGGCCGTAACTTTCGCTTTTCTTGAGTTATGTCCTTTGTAAATTAAAAAATTGCTGAATTTGCTGTATATTTTCAAGCAGGTGCATCTGACATTCTTCATTTATTTAAACCTAATATTTAGATATTGTCTATGGTTAAAAGATTTTACAATTTTTTCAAACATCCATGGAATTTCAGGAAATTTTTACAGATGCTTTTTTCATAATCAAGAGGTACTATCTTAAAAATAAATGTTGAATTATTCCCCATGTTTTGTATTAAAATCAGGACATTTGGTATGATTGCCAATGAGATAACTATCTTCCAGAGTTTAGATAATGTTGCTATAAGCAGTTATAGGTCATTGTACAGCTTCCAACAATGAGAAATACATACTGTATAGTCTGTTATAAAAGGCCCCGATATGAAAATGTGAAACAATTTAAAGGAGACATGTTAAGAAACTTATACACAATGCTTATTACCACCAAACACAGATCAAGTTCGAATTTGGGTGGCCTTACTTTCACTGTACTTTATTTATGCCCCTTTATAAATACATGTAGAAAGAAAGCTGAATTTGCTGTTTCTGCACTAACTTTACTTTGCCTCAACCAAATATTATGAAACTTTTACACAAAGCTTATAACCAGCAGTATATTTATACTTTACGGAAAAAAAAATATTAGTTTTATTGTCTTATTGTCGAGCCTGCGACTTTTGTTGCAGAAAGCTCGACATAGGGATAGTGATCCGGCAGCGGCGATAGCTAACTTCTTAAAAGCTTTATATTTTAGAAGGTGGAAGATCTGGATGCTTCATACTTTGTATATGGATGCCTCATGTTACGAAGTTTCCGTCAGTCACATGTCCAATGTCCTTGACCTCATTTTCATGGTTCAGTGACTACTTGAAAAAAAAGTTAAGATTTTTTGTAATGTTAAATTCTCTCTTATTATAAGTAAAAGGATAACTATATTTGGTATGTGCGTACCTTGCAAGGTCTTCATGCCCGTCAGACAGTTTTCACTTGACCTCGACCTCATTTCATGGATCAGTAAACAAGGTTAAGTTTTGGTGGTCAAGTCCATATCTCAGATACTATTTGCAATAGGTCTAGTATATTCGGTTTATGGAAGGACTGTAAGGTGTACATGTCCAACTGGCAGGTGTCATCTGACCTTGACCTCATTTTCATGGTTCAGTGGTTAAAGTTAAGTTTTTGTGTTTTGGTCTGTTTTTCTTATACTGTATGCAATAGGTCTACTATATTTGGTGTATGGAATGATTGTAAGGTGTACATGTCTAGCTGGCAGGTGTCATCTGACCTTGACCTCATTTTCATGGTTCAGTGGTCAAAGTTAAGTTTTTGAGTTTTGGTCTTTTTTTCTAATACTATATGCAATAGTTCAACTATATTTGGTGTATGGAAATATTTTATGATCTATATGTCAGTCACACAGGTTTTATTTGACCTTGACCTCATTTTCAAGGTTCATTGCTCAGTGTTAAGTTTTTGTGTTTTGGTCGGTTTTTCTTAAATATAAGCAAAAGGTCAACTATATTTGTTGTATGGAAGAATTGTTAGCTTTACATGCCTGCCTAGCATGGTTCATCTGACCTTGACCTCATTTTCATGGTTCATTGGTCAATGTTTAGTTTACTTGGTTAATGTTAAGTTTATGTGACAGTTGTAATAAAGATTTATATTTAGGACTATCAACATAATATCAATGATTAGTAAAGAAGGCGAGACATTTCAGTGTGTGCACTCTTGTTAGGAATATTTTGTTTAACATGTGGGTACAGATTATCTATGACCTTATGTCCCACTGGGGATGAAGATGATAGTTAGGTGGTTAGTAATACTAACCGGATTTACATACACATAAGATCATCATGTTATTGTCTTCCAATTTTCTGCAATGCAGTGAGACAGATCTTTTATTTCAATATGACATCCTGAGTTGTATTGGAAACATATTCATCAGAATAATTAAAAAATGTGTTAATACAAATTGATGACCATCCAGCAGGAATTGGACAACTGTTATTTTGATGACATTTATCTTAATATTACAGATGTAACAACGAAAATCCTACAATTTCAATTTATATATCTTGACTTGTTTTACAGGTGCTTTGATTCCCAGGGTTGGACGGACTCAGACAAAAAGTATGAGGATGAAAGAAGTGATAAAAGTTTATTCATACAAGAATTATTATTGTCAGCATTGACTGAACAATTTAAGATTTCTGAAGAGGATTTAGGATCAAAAGACAGTGAAGAGAATGTGATAGAAACCCCTTTAAATCCTACTCCTCAAAAGACTACTAATGGACAAATTAAAGAAGTGGCTTCCAAGTCTTCTATGACAGAAAAGCCAAGTCAATCTACGGTACCGAAAGTTCAACCATCTACTCGACCAGCCCACAGTATGTCTGGTGGAGGTAGTGTAAACAACAGTGGGATTCGCCACAGTACCATGGCCTCACCACCAGGTCCCATGTACGGAAATATTTCCGGTTCTAATCAACATGGCCAAATGGCTGGTGCTGGGATTGGTGCCAGCAATCCCCAACCATTACCAGGAAGGCCTGGATCAAGAGACAGTCGGATGAATCCGGCAGCTGCTAAAAAGACAATGTTTAAGCAGCTTCCTACTTCTAAAGCCTCTGACCGTGAGCCCCCTCCTCACTGAAGATTGTTGTAATTGTTTTACTAATTAATGAAGTCCAAAGATGGATGATCACACTTATTATTAGAATATTTATTTTGCTTCAGTCTTGTTATAAAAAATGTCTTATTACCCAGTAAAGAGACCAACAGGGTTGAGATGATTGACAGCTTATTTCAAAAATGAGCTTTACGTATATTTCATTTTTTTTAAACTGATAATTGAAACATGTTACAGAGGTGTGCTAAATTTCTTGTTTACTGTGATATGATGTCAAGCTATAGTTTGTATGTATTCTCAAGTGCTTTCAGATGACAGGGAACGTGAATTAGGAATCGAGATGAGCTTCACTGCCTGTAAGAAGCTTTAGTGCAAACACAGTATATATGTACATGTAATATACATCTCTGTAGTAATCATATGTTCTATGTGAGATCTAAATACCAATGTTTAAACAGAACAATTCTAAAAACTTCAAATGTAGACCTACTGTTGGAATATTTTAACAAAACGGAGAACCTTAGCAAGATTTGTTGTCATTGTTTTTACAGTGCAAAAATCAAACACTTTTAAACTGATATCTGCTTGTATATTTTTCTTTTTCACTTAAAAGTATGATACAACTACTTGTTTGGCCCCTCAAATAATTCAAATTCAAAAAGTAATTTAAAATTTACATCTTTCAGATGTTCAAAAGCCATAATTCTGTTTCATGAAAGCATACATGGGACCAAGGAAGACACTGCAGTCTCAGCTATGTGTATAGGTGTTTTGGTACAGTGAAATTGTAAGAGAAATGCTTAATTTTCCTGTTTAGGTAGCTCCTTGATTTTCAAAGTACCTTTCCTTGTTACTATGTATGTTTTAATGGAAAAGATCCCAAAATAGCCATATTTTGAGATTTTGTCATTTATGTTTAGAAAGGAGCCAGGTCTTAAGCCAGAAAAGATATTTTGCTGTAAGATGTATTTTACAAAGATGTTAATGTGTGTAAAATATCTTTTGAGTTTACATAAGGTCTTGGCTCATATATAATTTTGTTTAAAACTAAGTTTAAAAGTGGCCATTTTGGATCAAATATATCAATTTTGACATATTTATAACATCAGTGACATAGTGACACAACAAGTGACTTTTCTGTATGAAAGTGTCCAGTTTTTGCTATCACGGCAACCAACGCCAATAATAGAAACAGGTACTTTCTTAATTTCCGTAAACTATTTCAAAGGTCTTATTCAAAAGAACAAGGAGATGTTGTCATTAGCTATTATCTTGAAAAGTATAATAGATTCAGAAAATCTAATGAGGCTAAAATGTTTAGAATGTCAGGATATTCCTGCTATCTGTTTGTACTAAAATAAAAACTCCTTATAATCGATTTTAAATAGCTTTTTATGTTCTTGAAAATTATGATAGATATAATATGACAGAAACTGTATGCAGCAAAAAATTATGTACAAAAATGCCAATATGATGAAACTTGGAGGATTTGTAAATAATTTGTTTTTCCTGATTTTTTCGTAAATTTCAAAATAGCATATTTTTTCACATGAGCAATTTAGACTCCTTTGAGCATCTATTTATGATCCTTCGTTATTGTAAAAATTGAGGAATACAAATAGTTTGTTATTTTCTGAAAGTTATATTTTTCAATGTCAACAGCTGTTTTCTGTTTGCAGTCATACACTGGTGTTTTGTCATTTCCTATTTATATTTGTTTTACTATCAGATGAACTTTTTCCAACCTTTTGAGAGCTATAAACACTTATTTTAACTATTTCTAAAATAGTTACACTTGGAAATATGATGGAAACAGTAGAGTTTTAAGTTCTACATAGAAATTTATGATCAATCATTTTAGTATTCATGGTGTAATTGTTCTAATCATTTAAATAAATTATTTCAATCTCTAAGTCATCATACATCAGGTTGTACTATACCAATATTCATATGTAAAAAATTATTACAGTCATATATTTAATTAACATGCATCTTAAAGATCTTTCCACAAAAAATTAGTGTTGTATTTTTTATTCAAGTAAAATTTGATTTAATTTGGTATTTGAGAATTCTCAATAGCTTGATCTCTGTCAAATATAATTAAATTAAGATACTGTAAATTCAGAAATAAGTGTGTGCATTTTTTATCGCTGATCACTGATTACTGGTAAAAATTTGAGATGTAATTAATGCGAAAAATCTTGTGAAGGAACATCACTACTGAAATTATAAATGCAAGCTTTTCTTATCGCCAACATGGTACTGTCACATTTTTCGCATTAATAAAAACAATAATTTCTGAACTTACAGTAGTTGAATTTGAAAAAAGGTGTTCAGTGTTGTCAGACTTGGTTGCTTAAATTTTAAATACGAACTGATTAGAAGTTACAAACACTTATAAAGTTGAAGCTGGTCTTTCTTGTCACTTTATACTATGAAAGTGAAAAACTAGCTACTTAAAAAAAAATTTTTTATTTTATAAAGATTGATTAAAGAGATGTGTTTTTACATGATAGGGAAGGCAACAATATTTAATGTTTTGTTTATTCATCGCTTTAGTCAATCATACAAATTCAGTGTCATGTTTTGTACATTTTTCTGGTTAAGTTTAGTGATATTATGACAGATTACCTCCCATGTTAGTCTGGCATTGAAAATTTTCACATCTTTCATCAACGCATCAAGAGTCAAGATGGCGAGTTAAAGGAGAAATTTAAAAAGGCAGTGGCCTATAAAATGCATAAGAGTATTAAGATGATATTTTGTCATTATGTAAAGGAAATGAGTTGCACATACAGTTTTAACTAGTTTCTGTATATGTGGGTGGAATAATATTGAAAAATAGGTCATTCAAAATGAATGTCAGTTTCTCTGGCCTGGTGCAGAAACATACATATTTTGTACATGTCAGCTGTTTACATTTGAGATTTTACTTACTGACAAATTTTTTAAAATGATAGTAGACTTTGAATTTACTTATGAATGAAAAATTGTTATACAAATACAATTATCATGTTTATTGTCCAGTTAATATGCTTATAAAGTTAATAATATTCTTAAATATTAACCATTTCAATTCCATTCTTCACTAATTGACAAATCTGGATCATTTCTTTGTAAACCTTAAATCCATTAGAATTTTAAAATCATATTTGTTCATGATTTTTTATTTTTATTTAAAGATTTGGTTGCATTTTTTTTTTTTTTCATTTTAAAACCAAAAGTGTGAAAAAGAAAAAAATGAACAGACTGACTTTGGGATTACAATATTCCCCGATCCATTAAATTAAAAGGTTCTTGAAACAATATTAATTTTGATTGGCCATGAATTAACAAACCTGTTGATGGTTATAAATCATTTCATTCAGAGAATAAGATGTTCATCAATAGTGTTTCCTGGTTAATTATTTTTTTAAAGTTAAATGATTACAAGTAGTGTTTTTGGAAGTTCTGTTTTTGCTCTCCCTTGCACTTCTGTTTACAACAAAATCTTATCACATATTTGGACAGTAATAGTTAAAACCAAAAGCTACATTAGACTGAATATGGATGCTAAAATTTCATTTTTTTAACATATATCATGATAATTAACAAAAGAAGCTGTTTAATCCTCCCACTTATATATATATGCTTATATGTATTGGTAAAGATTGGTTTTGTGATATCCATTCCAATGATATTTTATAGAAACATTAAGACCTCAATTTAGAGTGGAATGAACAGATTTGTCCTTGATAATGATTATATAAAGAAAAGATAATAATTGGATGATATAAGATATTTAAGCATCATTTTTCCTGTGATAGTACAAACAAAGTAAAAAAAAATTGCCTGTGTTTCATAAAAATGATTTCATGCATACAGTTGAAAGTAGCCTATACTTCAGCTACCATACAACATATAAATATTTATGGATAGTTTTCCTTGTAACTTCACACAGAAGATACAAACTTTAATCACATGTGTACATGGTATATACTGTGATAGGGAGAAACCCTATCTCATTGTTTAATGAATTAACAGGTCAAGTTACAAGCGTGGAGAAGTTTGAATGTTAGAGGAGAGGATGATGAATGTTCATAAATTGTTTGAAATGGAATTAAAATTATAATATAGTTTCGTCTCATGTAATTATTTATGTGGACAAATGCTATCACTTGGTATCTGTCATAATACCAGTGTCTGTTATCTGTTGCAAACACTGTGAAAAGAGAGGTGGAAGATACCAAAGGTATGGTCAAACTCATATGTCGAAAATAAACTGACACAAGCATGGCAAAAAAAAACAAAAAAACGACCAAAAAAACAAACAATAGTTTACAAATTACAACATAGAAAACTAAAGACTTTAATAGCAACACAAACCCCACTAAAAACTGGGGGCGATTTCAAGAGCACCAAAAGGGAAAGCACATCCTGCTCCACATGTGGTACCTGTAGTGGAACTTAGACTTAATTGAAATTAAAAAGGCAACTGTATCAATGGAAATATTTGTAGTTCTAGGGTAAAGAATTTATCTTAATCATACAAAATCACAATTCAAACTAGACTGTAGTCATAATTTTCAATCACCAGAAATTGAAGAGTGAATGAATGCAAGTCAGATGATTTTATACAGATGCAATCGATATCTGTATTTTTTTTGGTGATTAAATATTGATGTTGAAATATTGCTGGTTAATTGGTATTCCTTAGGACAATTTTACAAAATGTGTTTCTATAGTTGTTGTCAGACAACAGTCACCAAAATACTACTTAGAAAACAAAGCTTAAACAACTCTTATCCAACAATAGATCAGGAGTAAACTCTAGTGTCCTGGAAGGGTAAGCAGTTTATGCTTCAAAAGTGGAACCCATTAATTACCTCGTAACAATTTTCCCTGTATTTATTTCACTTGAGGTAAAAATCTAAAATTTGCCAAATTCTACTGGAAATTGGATATTAGAGAGTATATTGTGTACTTACATACTGTTCCACAATTTTATATTATTCCATAAAATCCAAAATGCTATTCAGTGTTACATATTGATGCAATGATAATTTGATGACTATAATTTAAAATAAGCCAACATATTGTTAGAACACAGACTGTGAATTAAAGTTGAGACTGAGACTGAAATTGACCCTGTTGTGAAATTTACCGGTATATGCCCTACTCCTTTAAATCTTGTGACAAGCTCATTAAGTATTGTTAGAAACTGGAGAGAATTGTGGAACGTAAAAATGGTCATAAGAAGTAGATACACATTTGATGAAATTGAATATACTCAACAACAAAACAAATGCAACACCTCCATCAATGTCTTTGGAGTGGAAATTTTCATTGCATATATAACTTGGGATTGAAATGAGTCAATATTTTGAAAATTCTGAAGTCAAACAATAAATTCTGTGAAAATTGAAATACAAATACATTTTAATCCAAAATCCCAAAAATGTTACCAGATTTGTGAAAACTAAAGTCTTGTGTATCTTTTCATCAGAAAACAACGAAAAATTAATGACGTTGATTTTCAGTTTCTCAATTAAGTTTATGACTAATGACCCAATTTGAAATTGACTTTTCTCCGACTTTTGATATTTAACCGGATTTTCGAAGGAAAAATCGGTTATTGATTTGGGGATGTACAGCGGGCTGCTGCCAAACAGTGTCTGTTCTTTAACATGAAAATGCTTTGACAAAATTTTTTCAAATTTAGATATGTTGTTTCATGTGACTAAATAAAGGCTTTTCTTGTTGAGTTATATCCCTTTCCAATAGTCAAAAAGTGGTACTTATTATGTGATTTAGTTATTTCCCTTCGAACAGAAATGGTTAATTAAATATATAAAGTTTGATTACACTTACAGATAAGTTTTATAGATTTTTAAAAGACATTGTATTAATGATAAATGACATTTTGGATTTTTATGCCCCTGCCGTAGCGGAGGGGGCATTAAGTTTTACCATTGTCCGTCTGTACGTCCGTCCGTACGTACGTAGGTCCCAAAGTTGGTTTCCGTTCTCTAACTTTAGTTTGCCTCAACCAAATGTTATGAAACTTATACACAATGCTTATTACCACTAAATACAGATCAAGTTTGAATTTTGGTGGCGTCACTTTTACAGTTCTAGAGTTTATGCTCCTTTACACAATGCTTATTACCACAATAATCAGATCAATTTTGAATTTTGGTGCCGTCACTTCTGTTCTAGAGTTGTGCCCTTTACAAATGGAAAAAAAATTCTTTTTTTATTTATTCTAAATATCAAGTCATTTTTATACGACCGCAAAAAAATTTTGTGGTCGTATATTGGTATGACGTTGGCGTCGTCGTCGTCCGGCGTCGTCGTCCGAATACATATTGGTTTTCACACTCTAACTTTAGTTTAAGTGAATGGATCTTTTTGAAATTTGACCATAAGGTTAAATACCACAAAAGGAAGGTTGGGATTGATTTTGGGGGTTATGGCACCAACAGTTAAGGAATTAGGGGCCAAAAAGGGGCCAAAAATGAGCATTTTCTAGTTTCCAGACAATAACTGTGGAACGGTGTATGGATCTCTCTGAAATTATACTACAAGTTTCCATACCACAAAGGGATGGTTAGGATTTGCTTTGGGGGGTTATGGCTCAAACCGTTTAGGAATTAGGGGCAAAAAAGGGGGAAAAACAAGGTTGTCCTGGTTAATGGACAAATACTTTAGTACAAAACATAATTTAAAGCAGTGTAAGGGAGATAAATCAAATACATCATTGAAATTATCTCCCTTACACTGCTTTTAAATTATGTATAAAGTAATGGTTAATGAACAATAAAGATAATCTAAAACAGTGTAAGGGAGATAATCCAAATACAACGTTTTGGTTACTTCCCTTACACTGCTTTTAAATTATGTTTAAAGAAATGCATATTTATAAAGGAAGACCAGTAAAAATATCTGCAAATGTTTTCATCTTTTTTTTTACAAAAAAATCCATATGAAAGATTTGACACTATATTTTTATTAATTCTATTATAAAATAGATTAAGTTAGCACTATGGTAAATTTAAATGGGTAATTATGGTTGCCAACTCCATTGGAAATTTGAATTGAGATTATGACCATATCTTGAGGGAAAGAATTTTTTTGGGGGAAAAAAGGGGGGGGGGGGATAAAAAGAAATTGTGGGGGGCCAATTTTTTCTCATTTCAGATTTCAGAAATTAAAAAGAATTATTCTTCAAATATTATTTTTTTTTCAAATTTCAAATATTGAAAAATTTCAAGAAGTAATCTTTAATTGCACAGTATGGCGCATTAGATTTGTAAAATCTTTGATCACATTTATTTATTTGTTATGCCGAATCTAACAGTGTATTTAGATTTTTAATTTTGGGTCCAGTTTTCAAATTGGTCTACATTAATGTCCAAAGGGTCCAAAATTAAACTTTGTTTGATTTTAGCAAAAATTTAATATATGAGGTTCTTTGATATGCTGAATCTAAACATGTATTTAGATTTTTGATTTTTGGCCCAGTTTTCTAGTTGGTCCAAATTGGGGTCCAAAATTAAACTTTGTTTGATTTCAACAAAAATTGAATATATGGGGTTCTTTGATATGCTGAATCTAACCATGTCTTTAGATTTTTTATTTGTGGACCCCGTTATCTAATTGGTTCATATTGAGGTCAAAAGGGTCCAAAATTAAACTTTGTTTGATTTCATCTAAAATTGAATTATTGGGGTTCTTTGATATTCCAAATCTAACCGTGTATTTAGGTTTTTAATTTTGGGTCCTGTTTTTTAAATTGGTCTACATTGAGGTCCAAAGGGTCCAAAATTAAACTTAGTTTGATTTTAACAAAAATTGAATTCTTGGGGTTCTTTGATTTGCTGAATCTAAACATGTGTTTAGATTTTTGATTATGGGCCCAGTTTTCAAGTTGGTCCAAGATAGGGTCCAGTATTTAAACTTTGTTTGATTTCAACAAAAATTGAATATATGGGGTTCTTTGATATGCTGAATCTAAACATGTATTTAGATTTTTGATTATGGGCCCAGTTTTCAAGTTGGTCCAAATTGGGGTCCAAAATTAAACTTTGTTTGATTTCAACAAAAATTGAATATATGAGGTTCTTTGATATGCTGAATCTAACCATGTATTTAGATTTTTTATTTGTAGGCCCCGCTATCAAATTGGTTCATATTGAGGTCAAAAGGGTCCAAGATTAAACTTTGTTTGATTTCATCGAAAATTGAATTATTGGGGTTCTTTGATATGCCAAATCTAACCGTGTTTTTAGATTTTTAATTTGGGTCCCGTTTTTTAAATTGGTCTTCATTGAGGTCCAAAGGGTCCAAAATTAAACTTAGTTTGATTTTAACAAAAATTGAATTCTTGGGGTTCTTTGATATGCTGAATCTAAACATGTGTTTAGATTTTTGATTATGGGCCCAGTTTTCAAGTTGGTCCAAGTTGGGGTCCAAAATTAAACTTTTTTTGATTTCAACAAAAATTGAATATATGGGGTTCTTTGATATGCTGAATCTTACCATGAATTTAGAATTTTTATTTGTGGGCCCCGCTATCAAATTGGTTCATATTGAGGTCAAAAGGGTCCAAAATTAAACTTTGTTTGATTACATCAAAAATTGAATTATTGGGGTTCTTTGATATTCCAAATCTAACCGTGTATTTAGATTTTTAATTTTAAGTCCCGTTTTTTAAATTGGTCTACATTAAGGTACAAAGGGTCCAAAATTAAACTTAGTTTGATTTTAGCAAAAATTGAATTCTTGGGGTTCTTTGATATGCTGAATCTAAACATGTGTTTAGATTTTTGATTATGGGCCCAGTTTTCAAGTTTGTCCAAGTTGGGGTCAAAAAATTGAATATATGGGGTTCTTTGATATGCTGAATCTAACCATGTATTTTGATTTTGGACATTGGACCATAATAGGTAAATTAAAAAAATTCAAGTTCTTAGACCACATTCTTTCTGTGTCAGAAACCTATGCTGTGTCAAATATTTAATAACAATCCAAATTCAGAGCTGTATCAAGCTTGAATGTTGTGTCCATACTTGCCCCAACTGTTCAGGGTTCGACCTCTGCGGTCGTATCAAGCTGCGCCCCAGCGAAGCATTTT